GCTTCCTTAACAGTTCGTGGTGCAGGTGTTGCTAAAATAGCTGCAACTTTATCTTGATGAGGTGATACACCTTCGGGAGATATGGTGAAACCCAGAAAGTTGATTGTGGTTGCAGCAAACTTGCACTTTTCTATGTTCAGCTTCAATCCAGCTGCTGCAGGGTTTCTTCTAGATCTTTTAAGTGCTGCGAGAAGCCCCTGGAGTACACAACCACATCATTCAAGTACGCTAATGTGTGGTGTCCAAGAACAGATGACAAGACGAAATTCATTGTCCTCTGGAAAGTGGTAGGTGCAGTACTGAGGCCAAAGGGTAGCCTCCGAAACTGAAAAAGCCTATAGCCATCGCTAAATGCTGTCTTGGGGCGGTCTTCAGGATGAACCTCAACACTCCAATACGCTGCCCTTGCATCCAGAGTGGTGAACGTATCGGATGGGCCTAATTCATCAATAAGCTCATCAATTCTTGGTAGAGGGAACGTATCCGCTGTTGTTACTACATTCAAGTTCCTGTAATCCACACACAACCTAAGTGACCCATCTTTCTTCTTCACCAGGACAACAGGGCTCAACCACGGTGAAGTTGAAGATTCAATGACACCATTCTTGAGCATGGCATCACACTGCTTGCGTATTGTTTGATGGGTTGCTTGTGGGAGACGCCACTGGCGGGTACATACAGGTGTTGCTTGCCTGTATCAATCCTGTGCTGAATGCCTGGGATGTGGCCCACAGCATCCTCACCTCCATCAAAAAGGGTACTGTAACTACACAGAAGTCTCAGCAACTCCTAGGCGTTGATCTTCTCCTAAGTGATCCAGATCAGGCATCTGGTATTCAGTCTCCAAGGGCAATGGGTAATCTGGGATATTAGCAGCTTTCGATTGCGGCAAGGGCTTGTGATGGCGGAAGATCATCAGCAACATCAGTGGCAGCGCTGCCATAACCAAAATCCTCTATCCCAAAGGTTCTGTCAAACTGGTCTTCCTCCCACTAGAAATCCTCATCTTCCTTTTTGTCTTCACTCAAATCTGGATAAGCAGAGTTGCAGGCATTGGAGTCGGAAGTCTTGGAGGCTGAGGTTTCTGCCGTAAAAACAGCCTCGACAGCAGATACCATCCCCAAACATGTCCCTGTGTTAATCGAATTGGCCTTGTTGTGCTGTTGACTGCCCACACAGGGCATCGCCGTCTAGAAACAGTACTCAGCACAAACGGTGATATGCACACAGCTGTTACTTGCGGTGTAAACAAAACATCCCCATCATCAGAACAAGACCTTGCCACTACACCCTCCAAGAAACGCCCACTGTGTGGTGGAAGCTCTGTAGTTCGGTAAAGGTGCACAGCGGAAGAGATGTCGGGTGGTGACAAGCGAGACGGGAAAAAGCGGCTCTTCAGCATTCTCTGGTACTTCTGGTGTGGTTACTCTCACTACACTCAGCTGCAGGGATTGGGCATCAGTATAATTTACATGAAACTCCTGGCCTTCTAAAGTCAGGCAGGCGCTGTCATCCTGGGACCTTGAGGACAGGCTAAAGGTGGTTCTTCTCAAAAAGTCCATCCCCAAGAGTATGTCTCCAGGAAATCTTACATCACACACAGTGACCGTATGGTGCATTTCAAGGTCTGAGTTAATGCAGAAAACAAGGGTTACCTCACTCAGGGTGTTGATTGGTTGACCAGACACGCCTCGCAGAATGCTGTAAGTCTTCCTCCAACGTAGGTGGTTATGAGGATCAATCCTCTTGAGAGCTTGGGGTTTAATAATTGTTGCTTCGGATCCTGTATCAATAAAGCAGCAGACTGAAGAACCACTAACATTGAGTTCCGCAACTGGCCGTCCGGTAGGCCCTGTCACTGCCATTCCCTTCTTGAGAGGTAACGTCTCCACGTGAGGTGCTCCTTGGATCGAACCTGCCAGCAGCTCCTGGAGCTTGGTCACCCTGGCGCTCACGAAAGGGGCAATCTCTCACCAAATGTCCTGGACCTCTGCAATGGTAGCATCGTCGTCGCGGAGACTGTGGATCTAGGATCTCAGCCCTGGCTCTGCACTCAGATGTACCGTGAGTCCTTACCCGATGATGCTCACACCACCTCTCCCTGACAGGTGATCGATGATAAGGTGGACTGGAACGCTCAGCAGCTACTGGCATAGCATACAAATCCCGACCCCGTGGAGAGCAATTAGGGTGGTAGGGATTTTCCTCTGCTGATGAAGTATCGCTATGCCTTATGCCATTGCGTGAATTCCAGATGCGCTGTGCTGTTTCGGCTATCTGGGTTGGGCTACCATCTTCTTTAACAGAGAGGAAGTCTTGGAGCCATGCGGGGATGCCACTCAGGAAGACCCTCTTCACTAGTTCAGATGGATCACCAATGGCCTCGCGGTGATCCCTGTATCCCTGGTAGACGTGCCCTTCCAACTGCAAAAAGAAGTCCATTGGTGCCTGGCTTGGTGTCATCCGGATGTCGTATAGAACCTTGTAAGTCCGAGGGGTGTAGGTACCTTGGAACTTACTACGGAGAGCTGCCTTGAATGTGTCCATTCTGTGATCGAGTCGAAGAGAGGGGAATTAATGATTAGCTCGGCTGGACCTCTGCAGTTTGCCCGCGCTGCCTGACTGAACATCTTTGATGTGGCTGGCTTCACAATGTTCTCAATTGTCCGAATCCAACTCTCTACTGCTTGGTTCTTTTTGAGCAGCTGTGAGGCGGAAGTATCCCCCTTGAAGTGCGGGACAGTTTCCTTTGTGAACACACAGGAAAATGGCGTGCCAAAACTGAGACAACTGAGACACGTCAGGATACAGCTGCTGCTCTGGTATTGGAGTGTGGGGGCGGCTCCGAGGAAGAGGCTGAGGAGGAGGGCGGCTTCCATTAATGACAGGAGGCTGCTGATGGTGGTCTTGACACCTAGTCATGGTATGTTGTACTGAGGGGCGAGACGGCGGACCTCTGCTAGCTCCTGGTCCGCTGCTGAAGTTGACGACGAAGCTCTTGAATCTCTCGGTCTTGGGCACATTCCATGGGTGCAGGTGCAGCACCTGACCCCTGTAGTCGTTGGCGGGTCTCAGTCAGCTCCCTGTTCCGTTCCTCTAGCTGGTGGTGGAGCTCCTGAATTTCCTGTTCTTGGGTATGTACCACAGGCATGGGTGCAGCGTTCGTCCGCAGTAGTTGAAGGCGAGTCTCCTCCAGCTCCCTGTTGCATTCCTCCAGCTGGCGACGGAGTTGCTGAACTGGATCCTCCTGGTTTAGTTCTCTCTCCTGTGGCTGATGGAGGTTACTGTCTGCTGCTGTTCTTGATTTAGAGTGCTTCCTGCATGCGATGTTCAAGGGCCTCTTCATGGCGCTGTAGTCGGGCATCATTCTGTTCCTTGTACTCCCGTACTTCTGCGACTAGAGAGTTGATCTTCTCCATGATCTGGTCAAACATGGTTACTTCTGTGACCATCATCTGGACAGCCTCGCGTACGTCCGGGTTAGAACCACCTGGTATGCGGCGTGGTGTTGGGGAGACTTCACGGGATGTCGGCTGGCTGCTCATCCGGATGTTTCGACGCTGCTGGAGTCTCTGGTATCGCTCCTGCCTCTCCCTGCTGTTCGGCATGCCAGGAACGCAGCAAGCAAATACTTGAAGCTCTTCACGCACAAATACAAACTACTGCTGGCGGGAAACAAAACCAACACAAAACTGACAATCCACAGGATCACAAAGAAACCAGAGTTCGTAAACATAAACTGCTGCACGAAGCAAAGACGCTGTACGAAGCAAAGACGCTGCACGAAGCAAAGACGCTGCACGAAGCAAAGACGCTGCACGAAGCAAAGACGACGCACGGAGCAAAGACGACGCACGAAGCAAAGACACTGCACGAAGCAAAGACACTGCACGAAGCAAAGACACGAACAAAGACACTGCACAAAGCAAAGACACTGCACAAAGCAAAGACACTGCACAAAGCAAAGACACTGCACAAAGCAAAGAGGTAGAGGTTGAAGACCGCGACGCGCGTAGATAGAGGAAAATGGACACCGCCATGTTATAGAGCGGGAAAAATAGAAGGGGATAGCGTATAGTTTAAGATGCACCGGCCTTATAGTCACCGCTAAATGAGGAAAATATAACGCGCGGCCGCCTTTCAAATTCAAAGTCGATGAGCTTGTTTACCTTGCTAGGAAAAACACGACACTGACCCACGAACGCATTTTTGCGTTCGCGACTAGTCCGTGTATCATTACGCGCCCTTTGTCAAAAACGATATTTTGGGCCTTTAATTATGCTGTCTTCTGGTCGCATGATTATACCTTTAAGTCTTAGTTAATGTTTAGTATACTGTGTTAAGATCGAATTGGCCTTGCTTGTGCTGGTTTGACTGGCCCGGACACAGGGCTGCGCCGTCTAGAAACAGTACTCAGCACAAACGGTGATATGCACACAGCTGTTACTTGCGGTGTAAACAAAACATCCCCATCATCAGAACAAGACCTTGCCACTACACCCTCCAAGAAACGCCCACTGTGTGGTGGAAGCTCTGTAGTTCGGTAAAGGTGCACAGCGGAAGAGATGTCGGGTGGTGACAAGCGAGACGGGGAAAAGCGGCTCTCTTCAGCATTCTCTGGAACTTCTGGTGTGGTCACTCTCACTACACTCAGCTGCAGGGATTGGGCATCAGTATAATTCACATGAAACTCCTGGCCTTCTAAAGTCAGGCAGGCGCTGTCATCCTGGGACCTTGAGGACAGGCTAAAGGTGGTTCTTCTCAAAAAGTCCATCCCCAGTAGTATGTCTCCAGGAAATCTTACATCACACACAGTGACCGTATGGTGCATTTCAAGGTCTGAGTTTAGGCAGAAAACAAGGGTTACTTCACTCAGGGTGTTGATTGGTCGACCAGACACGCCTCGCAGAATACTGAAAGTCTTCCTCCGACGTAGGTGGTTATGAGGATCAATCCGCTTGAGAGCTTGGGGTTTAATAATTGTTGCTTCGGATCCTGTATCAATAAAGCAGCGGACTGAAGAACCACTAACATTGAGTTCCGCAACTGGCCGTCCGGTAGGCCCTGTCACTGCCATTCCCTTCTTGAGAGGTAACGTCTCCACGTGAGGTGCTCCTTGGATCGAACCTGCCAGCAGCTCCTGGAGCTTGGTCACCCTGGCGCTCACGAAAGGGGCAATCTCTCACCAAATGTCCTGGACCTCTGCAATGGTAGCATCGTCGTCGCGGAGACTGTGGATCTAGGATCTCAGCCCTGGCTCTGCACTCAGATGTACCGTGAGTCCTTACCCGATGATGCTCACACCACCTCTCCCTGACAGGTGATCGATGATAAGGTGGACTGGAACGCTCAGCAGCTACCGGCATAGCATACAAATCCCGACCCCGTGGAGAGCAATTAGGGTGGTAGGGATTTTCCTCTGCTGGATGAAGTATCGCTATGCCTTATTCCATTGCGTGAATTCCAGATGCGCTGTGCTGTTTCGGCTATCTGGGTTGGGCTACCATCTTCTTTAACAGAGAGGAAGTCTTGGAGCCATGCGGGATGCCACTCAGGAAGACCCTCTTCACTAGTTCGATGGATCACCAATGGCCTCGCGGTGATCCCTGTATCCCTGGTAGACGTGCCCTTCCAACTGCAAAAAGAAGTCCATTGGTGCCTGGCTTGGTGTCATCCGGATGTCGTATAGAACCTTGTAGAAGTCCGAGGAAGTGTAGGTACCTCGGAACTTACTACGGAGAGCTGCCTTGAATGTGTCCCATTCTGTGATCGAGTCGAAGAGAGGGGAATTAATGATTAGCTCGGCTGGACCTCTGCAGTTTGCCCGCGCTGCCTGAATGAACATCTCTGATGTGGCTGGCTTCACAATGTTCTCAATTGTCCGAATCCAACTCTCTATGCTTGGTTCTTTTTGAGCGGCTGTGAGGCGGAAGTATCCCCCTTGAAGTGCGGGACAGTTTCCTTCGTGAACACATAGGAAAATGGCGTGCCAGACAACTGAGACAAAGGATGTGCTGACTGGGGACGCTGGGAAGACCTAGGCTGGAACTGCTGCGGCAGGGATGTTTGTGGTCATACGTGTGTCGACGTTCCAGGACAGCTGCTGCCTCTGGTATTGGAGTGTGGGGGGCGCTCCGAGGAAGAGAGCTGAGGAGGGAGCGGCTTCCATTAATGACAGGAGGCTGCTGATGGTGGTCTTGACACCTAGTCATGGTATGTTGTACTGAGGGGGCGAGACGGCGGACCTCTGCTAGCTCCTGGTCCCGCTGCTGAAGTTGACGACGAAGCTCTTGAATCTCTCGGTCTTGGGCACATTCCATGGGTGCAGGTGCAGCACTGACCCCTGTAGTCGTTGGCGGGCCTCAGTCAGCTCCCTGTTCCGTTCCTCTAGCGGAGCTCCTTTTTCCTGTTCTCGGGTATGTACCACAGGCATGGGTGCAGCGTTCGTCCGCAGTAGTTGAAGGCGAGTCTCCTCCAGCTCCCTGTTGCATTCCTCCAGCTGGCGACGGAGTTGCTGAACTGGATCCTCCTGGTTAGTTCTCTCTCTCCTGTGGCTGATGGAGGTTACTGTCTGCTTGCTGTTCTTGATTTAGAGTGCCTTCCTGCATGCGATGTTCAAGGGCCTCTTCATGGCGCTGTAGTCGGGCATCATTCTGCTCCTTGTACTCCCGTACTTCTGCGACTAGAGAGTTGATCTTCTCCATGATCTGGTCAAACATGGTTACTTCTGTGACCATCATCTGGACAGCCTCGCGTACGTCCGGGTTAGAACCACCTGGTATGCGGCGTGGTGTTGGGGAGACTTCACGGGATGTCGGCTGGCTGCTCATCCGGATGTTTCGACGCTGCTGGAGTCTCTGGTATCGCTCCTGCCTCTCCCTGCTGTTCGGCATGCCAGGAACGCAGCAACCAAATACTTGAAGCTCTTCACGCACAAATACAAACTACTGCTGGCGGCAAACAAAACCAACACAAAACTGACAATCCACAGGATCACAAAGAAACCAGAGTTCATAAAGCATAAACTGCTGCACAAGCAAAGACGCGCACAAGACGCTGCACGAAGCAAAGACGCTGCACGAAGCAAAGACGCTGCACGAAGCAAAGACGCTGCACGAAGCAAAGACGCTGCACGAAGCAAAAGACCGCTGCACAAGCAAAGACGCTGCACGAGCAAAGACGCTGCACGAAGCAAAGACGCTGCACAAAGCAAAGACGCTGCACGAAGCGCTGCACAAGAAAGACGCTGCACGAAGCAAAGACGCTGCACGAAGCAAAGACGCTGCACGAAGCAAAGACGCTGCACGAAGCAAAGACGCTGCACGAAGCAAAGACGCTGCACGAAGCAAAGACGCTGCAAAGACGCAAAGCAAAGACGCTGCACGCTGACACGCTGAGAGCAAAGGACGCAAAGACGCTGCACAAAGCAAAGACGCTGCACAAAGCAAAGACGCTGCAAAAGCAAAGACGCTGCACAGCAAAGACGCTGCACAAGCAAAGACGCTGCACAGAGCAAAGACCACTGCACAAAGCAAAGAACGCTGCACAAAGCAAAGACGCTGCACAGCAGGCAAAGACGCTTGCACAGAAGCAAAGACGCTGCCACAGAGGCAAAGACGCTGCACAGCAGCGCTGCAAGGACGCTGCACAGAGCAAAGACGCTGCACAAAGCAAAGACGCTGCACAAGCAAAGACGCTGCACCAAAGCCGCTGCAAAGAGCAAAGCGCTGCCACACAAAGACGCTGCGCCATCAAAGCAAAAGACGCTGCACAGAGCAAAGACGCTGCACAAGCAAAGACGCTGCACAAAGCAAAGACGACAAAGAAACGCGCACAAAGCAAAGACGCGGCCACAAGAAAGACGCGGCACAAAGCAAAGAGCGCCGCAAAGACGGCGCACAAAGCAAAGACGCGGCACAGCAAAGACGCAACAAAGCAAAGACGCGGCACAAGCAAAGACGCGGCACAACGCAAAAGACGCGGCACAACGCCAAAGACGCGGCACAACGCAAAGACGCCAAACGCAAAGACGCGGGCAAAACGCAAAGACGCGGCAAAAGCAACGCGGCACAACGCAAAAAGACGCCAACAACGCAAAGACGCGGCACAAGCAAAGACGCGGCACAACGCAAAGACGCGCACAACGCAAAGACGCGGCACGCAAAGACGCGGCAACGAGCAAAGACGCGGCACAAAGCAAAGACGCTGCAAACGCAAAGACGCGGCACAACGCAAAGACGCGGCACAACGCAAGAACGCGGCACAAAGCAATTGCAAAGACGCTGCACAACGCAAAGACGCGCACAACAAAGACCGCGGCACAACTCAAAGACGCTGCACAACGCAAAGACGCTGCAAAAGCAAGACGCTAAAGACGCTGGCACAACGCAAAGACGCTGCAAAGACGCGCACAACGCACGCTGCACAAAGCAAGAACGCGGCACAAGAAAAGACGCTGCACAAAGCAAAGACGCGCACAAAGCAAAGACAAACGCAAAGACGCTGCACAAAGCAAAGCACGCTGACACAAAGAAGACGCTGCACAAAGCCAAGACGCGCACAAAGCCAAAGAACGCTGCACAAAGCCAAGACGCTGCACAAAGCCAAGACGCTGCACAAAGCAAAGACGCGGCACAAAGCAAAAGACGCGGCAAAAACAAAGCAAAGACGCGGCACAAAGCAAAAGAGCGGCACAACGCAAAGACGCGGCCACAACAAAGACGCGGCACAACGCAAAGCGCGGCACAACGCAAAGACGCACAACGCAAAGAACGGGCACAACGCAACGCGCACCGCAACAACGCAAAACGCGGCACAACGCAAAGACGCGGCACAACGCAAAGACGCAACGCAAAGACGCGGCACAAACGAAAGACGCGGCACAACGCAAAAGACGCGGCACAACGCAAACGCGACAAAGCAAAGACGCGGCACAACGCAAAGACGCGGCACAACGCAAAGACGCGGCACAACGCAAAGACGCGGCACAAAGCAAAGACGCAAGCAACGCGGCACAACGCAAAGACGCGGCACAACGCAAAGACGCGGCACAAAGCAAAGACGCGCACAACGCAAAGACGCTGCACAACGCAAAACAACGCAAAGAGACCTGCACCGCAAAGACGCGGCACAAAGCCAAAGACGCGGCACAAGCAAAGACGCGCACAACGCAAAAGACGCGGCACAAAGGCAAAGACGCGCACAACGAAAGACGCTGCACAAACAGCAAAGACGCTGCACAACAAAGACGCGGCACAACGCAAGACGCTGCACAAAGCAAAGACGCGGCAACAACGGCAAAGACGCTGCACAACGCAAAGAGCAAAAGCAAAGACGCCTGCAGCAAAGACCGCACAAGCAAAGACGCTGCACAAAGCAAAGACGCTTGCACAAGCAAAGACGCTGCACAAAGCATGCTGCACAAAGCAAAGACGCTGCACAAAGCAAAAGACGCTGCACAAGAGACGCTGCACAAAGCAAAGACGCTGCACAAAGCAAAGACGCGGCACAAAGCAAAGACGCGGCACAAAGCAAAGACGCGGCAACAAAAGCAAAGACGCGGCAACAAAGCAAAGACGCTGCACAAAGCAAAGACGCTGCACAAAGCAAAGACGCTGCACAAAGCAAAGACGCTGCACAAAGCAAAGACGCTGCACAAAGCAAAGACGCTGCACAAAGCAAAGACGCTGCACAAGCAAAGACACAAAGCAAAGACGCTGCACAAAGCAAACGCTGCACAAAGCAAAAGACGCTGCACAAAGCAAAGACGCTGCACAAGCACGCTGCACAAAGCAAAGACGCTGCACAAAGCCGCGGCACAAAGCAAAGACGCTGCACAAAGCAAAGACGCTGCACAAAGCAAAAGACGCTGCACAAAAGCAAAGACGCTGCACAAAGCAAAGACGCTGCACAAAGCAAAGACGCTGCACAAAGCAAAGACGCTGCACAACGCAAAGACGCTGCACAAAGCAAAGACGCTGCACAAAGCAAAGACGCTGCA